CACAAAAAGCAATGCCACCAGTAAGGGAAAAAGATCATGGAAAGTGCCATTCATTTGATGCTCATGAGTTTCAGATCTATCTTTCAGTGCATACTGACCTGAACACAACATTTACATGCTGTCCCAGTTATGGCAATTTAGATAGTTAAATAGATTTTGTGACATGGGGACTTAGCCTAGACTCCAGTAATTGGTTTCAAAGTGTCAAGAATTACCCCTCTTTGCTGTAGCACCGATAGGCATGGAGGCAAACATGTTATTGTACATATGGAAGGTCGTGGTGGATGTGTTAAAAAATACAAAGCTAAAAACTTCCCCTTCAAAGGAAATCAACTGTATTTCTTATTAGTCTCTGCTCACCCAAGAGCTTAATTCCCCGCTGGCTCCGCTATTATGGGGAAGGGGGGAGGGGTGGTAGAACAAGAACTCGATCTTCTACAAAAATAAATATCAAAGTTTCTACGGTAATCACGTCAAATTACCAACAAAATAGTGAATTTATCAAATAGCCAGACATGAAGAACATATCCCTTTTATTCCCAATCTTAATACGGACCTTTTTGGATTTATTTTATTAATACGTATTTATTATTATTATTTTATCTTATTCCCAATTTTAATGTGGATATTTTTAAATTTATTTTATTAATACATATTCATTATTATCTGTATCTATTTTATTTTTTTTCCCAATTTTAATACGGACATTTTTGTATTTATTTTATTAATACTTATTTATTATTATCTGTATTTGTTTTATTTTTTTCCCAATTTTAATGCGGATATTTTTGTATTTATTTTATTAATACGTATTTACTATTATTTGTATTTATTTGATCTTATTTCCAACTTTAATGCGGATATTTTTTAATTACCCCATCAGCTAAGACAGCCCTGCAATTGCACACAAGTAGATTGCAATTTATGATTTATGGCAATTGCACACCTGACCTTCCAAGTGTTGCAAAGGAATAAATTTCGTTGCAAAGGAATAAATCCCGAAATGCGAAAAAAGTCCCCCAAGTTGGCCAACTATGGGGTCCGAATTTCGAGATTTAAAGTAGGAAATTATATAAATTATTTAATCAATATATATATTTAATTATTATTAGATTATTTAAAGAAGTAAATTAATACCTGCATTAAGAGTAAACTACAGGAAACACATGCAACCAATGACGTAAAAATAACACACAAAAACATGCACACAAAAAAAGAAAATCATAAGAAAATAATACAATCCATATAAAAGAAAAAAAAAAAACATATGTTAATAATGATAGTAGTGATAATAGTATTAATGATAATGACAATAGCAATAATTATGATATTCAATAATAATGATGATAATGATGGTAATAACAAGAATGGTAATGATTTTAGGTTTGGTTAAGTTAATAAATAATAAATCTCACAATAAATCTCCCTCAATCGAAGAATAATCCCAAAAAACCTTTAATTCTTATTTCTCCCCTTAAGTCGTAAAAAATATCATTCCTAACCTCCTCAGAAAACAGCAAGAAAGACACATACTTGCCCTAAATACCTCAGAGAAAGCACCTGTCAGTCTCCCGTTGAAGATGAATTTCGATTAATATTTTTTCTTTTTTTTTCCCGAAGAAGTAAAAAAAAGGCGACTTCCTCCTCTCAGGCCGCAAAGGCAACTGAGCGGGTTTTTAAATCCGGCTCGCGTAGTGGAGTTTATTTTCTTCCTTTTTGTCTAATTTCTCTCATTTGATTTATTATAAGGATATGATTTGTATGTTGGAAAATTAAGAATCGGTTGTTTGGATCGTGATGTGGATTTTCTTTGCCTTTTTTCTATCGTTCGGTAGGATTAGATTTGTGTAAAATGTGCGTGACGTACTATATCAGGGTTGCAAGGACAATAGGGTCGAATACAGTTCAATAAACTTTCGTGTTGATTCATGTAAATAATTTTCAAAACCCCAAATGATGGTTTTATTCCCTGAATTGACCTGATAAATATAAAAAAATCTATAACAATTTAAACTAAAAGATAAATAATTATCATTATGTTTATTATATTTATTATCATCATCATCATTATTATCATCATCATTATCATCATTCTTATCATTATTCGTTTTTCAGTGACACTTTCAGGCAATTCATCACTAAAACGCAAAACTTCAAACCATAATTTTAAGTAATGAGACGCAGTAACTCACATACTTAGGGGAAAAAAAAAAGAGGAAAATAAGACACCTGTGTTCTACATGCACATGGCGACTTTCTTACTATTGATAAATATTAAAAAGCATCTGTCTGCATCATCAAAATCTTCTGTTAAATTCAAGATAATTCACTTTTTCTTATATCAATGTACAGTAAAGATTTTGTTCATAATACGAAAACTTATGAAATCGTTCCGAATTTATCGTTATCAGGATTAGATGTTACACGTGTCAGCATCTCGGTTTATTCCGTTGAATAAGTGGAAATATGATTTTAATGTAATAAGGGTGATAGTAGTAATAACAAATAAGGTGAAAAAGATAGTGATTATAATAATAATAATATTAATGATAATAATAATAGTAATAATATTAATAATGATGATAATAATAATAATAATAATAATAATAATAATAATAATAGTGATAATGATAATAACAATAACAATAATAGTAATAATGATAATAATAATGATAATAATAATAATAATAATAATAATAATAATAATGATGATGATGATGATAATAATGATAATGAAAATAATAATATAAAAATAATAATGACAATAATAATAATAATAAAAATAATAATATAAAAATAATAATGACAATAACAATTATAATGAAAATAATAATATTAAAATAATAATGACAATAATAATAATAATAATGATAATGACAATAATAATAATGATAATAATAATAATGATAATAGTAACAATAATAATAATGATATTAGTAATGATAATGATAATGATAGTAATAATAACAATAATAATAATTATGATGATAATAATGACAATTAAGTGTATCACTATTATTATTCTCATTATCATAACTGTTATGATTATTGCTATTTCAATTATTATCATTATTATTACTGTTATTATTTTTACTTTTAATATTATTATTATTATTATCATTGTTATCATTATCGTTATTATTATCATTATTGTTATTATCATCATTGTTATCATTATTATTACTTTTATTATTATCATTATTATTATCATTATTATCATTATCATCATTATTGTTATCATCACTGTTATTATCATTATCGTTATTATTGTATTGTAGTAGTAGTATCATTATTATTATTATCATTATCATCACTATCACTATTATTATTATTATTATTATCATTATCATTATCATCATTATCAATTTTATCCACACTCTATCTACCATCCTAATTAGTTGTTATCATTGTTGTTATCATTATTATTATTACTTTTATCTTTATCATTATTATTACTATTATATTTATCATTATTATTACTATCATTATCAATGTTATTTTCATTATTAATATTACAATCATTACTGTTATTATTATTATCATCATTGCTATTATCAACATGACAAGTATTATTGTTACCATTATTATTATCATTGTCATTATTATTATTGTTATTATTAATCAACTTCTGCTTTTTCTTTTCATTATCCTTATAATAGTAATGATGATAATGATGATAGTAATAATGGTAATAAAAATAGTAATAATACTAATAATGATAATTATTTTCATAATTATTTTCTTAATTACTATTATTATCATTATTATTTTTGTTATTACTATTATCATCAGTTTCACCATTACTGTTACCATTATCATTAGTGGTATTATTATCAATATCATTATTATCATGATTACTATTATTATTATTGTTATTAGTATAATGTTAATTATTATTATTACTCTTATTATTACCATTATTTTCACTGGTAGTAATAGTAATAGTATCATTATTATTAATTTCATTATTATCATCACTATTTTAATTGTTATTATCATCATTCTTCTTATTCATCTTATTATTGTCACCATCATTCTTTTTATTTTTATTATTATTGTTATTATCATTGTTATTATTATTATTATTATTATCATGATCATTACTATCATTGCCATAATCAATATTGATATTAATATCATTGCTATAATCATCATTATTATTATCACTATTAATATTAACATTATCATCATTATTTTCTGTATACTCTACTATCATCACTGTTGCAATTATTATTAGTATCATTATCATTATCATTATCATTATTATTATTATTTTTAGTAGTAGTAGTATTGTTATCATCATTATTATCATTACTGTCACTATTGTTATTATCATTATTATTATTTTCATTACCACCATTACCATTATAATAATCATCATTATCATTATTATCATTATTCTTTTTGGTATTGTTATTATCATTACTATTACTATCACCATCATTATCATTATTGATATGAACATTATTATCATTAACATCATCATTGATATTATTATTATTATATTTATTATAATTGTTATCATCTTTATTATCATTATTAAAATTATTATTGTTATGATTATTGTCATTATTATTATTATTATTACTATTATTTTCATCGTTATTATCATTACTATCATTAACATTATTATCATTATTGTCATTATTATCATTTTGATTACTATTATTTTCATCGTTATTATCATTACTATCATTAACATTATTATCATTATTGTCATTATTATCATTTTGATTACTATTATTATCACAGTTGTTTTTATTAGCCTTGTTACGATTATCATTATTACTATTATTATCATTACTATCATTATTATTATTGTCACTATTATTATCATTATTATTATCCTCATCATTATTATTATTGTTAGCATTTTCATCATTATCATTATTATTATAGTTATCATTATTATTAGGTTTATAATCACCATTAACATAATTATCATTATTGTAATTATCATTCTTATTCTTATTATTATAGATATTTTTAGTATGACTTTGATCATTACTGATGTCATTATCATTATTTTTTTATTATAACAATTTTATTTGTCTTCATAATTATTATCATTACTGTTTATTATTATTGTTATTATCATCATTATTATGGATAATTGTCCTTTTCATAATCATTATCATTATCACTGTTATGATCATTATTATCTTCATTATCGTCATCATGTTAATATTTATCATTATTGCTATTATTATCATTATTATAATTTTAGGTATTATCATTATCATTATTATTGTTATTGTCATTACTTTTATTATTATTATTTCATATCATAATTGTTAGCATTATCATCACTAGTAGTATTAAGGTGCCGTATTGTTGTTATTTTTGTTATTATCATTACTAATATCATTATTTGTCATGATGATAATATTAATCATAATAATGCAAATAATGATCTGTTATATATTATTCCTTTCATTATTATTATTACCCTCACCGTTATCATTATCAGTATCAATGTTTATCATTATTATTATCTTCATTAATGGTATTATTACTGTTATTATATTTGTTATCATTTCCACTATCATCTCTCTCTTTACCATGGTTAATATCATTATTATAATTGTTGTTGTTGCTTTTATTATTACTATGATTATTATCTTTATCAAAATTATTATTATTATAATTATCATCATTATTTTCATTATTATCATTGCCATTATTATTATCATCCTCCTCATTATTATTATCATTATTATCCTCATCATTACTGTTATTACTACAATTATTATTATCATATTATAATTATAGTTATGATCGTCAATATAATTTTCATCGTCATTATCATTTCTACTAGCACGACAACAGTTTATTTTTCATTCAAAATTATGATTAATATTAACATAATCCTCACAATGAACAGTCGTAGTTATACCATTATTTAATTGACTTGAACGATATTTATTAAAGTCATAACTGTATTGCGAAATTTTCTACATCAAGTATCGTTTTTCTCGAGACCATTACCCTCTTCAGTTCATTTGTAAGCAAAATTACAGGGTCATTAACGTTCGAAATGCTAATTACCCCCGTTATTGGTTGTAAACACTCAGCTGTAAATTAATTTTTGGCGAGTCATACAAATCAGTTAATGTTTGGATGACCGAGAAAAATTAGTAAAAGCGAACATTACATATCACCCTTGTGTTAAATGTTAATAAGGGCGAATTTTAGTCAGAAGTATAGGAACACGCGAATTTGGTCCTTATGGCGTGAACGAAAGTAACAAGTAACCGTTGTCGTTCAGATTTCAGTACTGCGCTCTCATCCCGCCTCGGAAGAAGCACACAGAGAGAGACAGAGAGAGAGAGAGAAGGAAAGACTCAAATTTATAGGTGAGTAAAAATGGCAAAGGCGTAAAGTTAGGTTTGAAAGTTGTCAATGTGGAGAGATTCATGCTAAAGAAAACGAGAACGTTATAGGCGGGAAAACTGCGCTAAATTGAGCCGATTGTCTTTTCACTCTATATGTCCTGAAAAATGGGATAATCGTGTTTTCCTGCCTTTTTCCCCTTCAGTTTTTTTTTTTTTTTTTTTGATATTGAGAATAAAAGGATTGGCAAATATGTTCAGGAACACAAATGCCTTACTGTTTCCTTTTTATCACTGTGACTCTTATTTCATACTGTTTTATGC